AAGGTGGGGTCTATTGTTAAGCCTAGAGCGACTCTAGACTAGCTAGGCTATTCAAGTGACCTCCTGCCTGTGCCAACTGCCAGATTACAGGTAGGCCACTTGTAATAATTACAATTAGCCAATACACTTGGCTATTATGTAGGGGCTAAGGAACCCAAGTCTGGTCTTCATACTTGGGTGGCAAGTACTTTATCCCATGAACTATCTCCCTGGTCTCCATTGCTACTGTTTTCATGTGTGTCACTGATATTTTGGGATGCTACATCCTTACTTCCATTTTTTCTAGTAAGACTTACTTCCATTTTTCACTATGATTTTTGCATAGTGTGGTCATTTTAAGGACGCCTCTTTATAGCAGAAAGAACTGCACTCAGTATCTTTTGGTCAGTAGTGAACAAATTTTTTATTCTCCATGGATACCTAACTCCTAAAACTGTAGTAACAAGTGTACTTGTCATCCTAGGCTTTGGGACTAGCAGATCTGCCCAGTTGAAAGGAATAAATGTTCATTCCAACTGAATGAATACTAGACAATGTGAAGCTGTGAAGACAATGTGGCTAATGAGAAGTAATGCTTGCTCTATGTTTCTACTCTAGTGAGAAGAGAGAGACAAGTAGTTATTACAACAGGGTGGGGTGGATGCCATTCTATAGAATTATACAAGTTCTCTCCAACTACGAAGACCTCCCCGAGGAAATGTTCCCCTTTCCCACATATTTCAAAGGCTTTCCTTTCTTGCCCCTTTCCTGTCATGTTCCTGAGCATGCTGAGTCTGTGAGCACTAGGCAGGTACAGTACAGAGAAGAGTTAATATGGCACAGGTGGGAAGGATCGGGGCCCTGAGGGATGCAGGTAGAACAGGCTCATAAAAGGCCCCAAGAGGCGCTGGGCAAGGTAAAAAGAGACTGCCAGCACACAGTGCTCAGAGTAACTTCCTAGTCAAGTCTTCAGCTGTGGTTTTGTCTTCACTCAACACTGAAGTTTCTGCTGGAGCTGGATGCTTGCGGGGACTCCATCTACTCACCCTGCCTCCTCCATCGAGGTGTTTCTTCACAAACTCAGTATTCTAGGATTTCTACTGTTTCCTCCTCCAGTTGCCTTACCTGGGAGGCATTCCAGGAATAAGTCTCTAGTGGAACCCCCTTCTGGATCCAGAAGAATGGAAGAATGCCAACAAGAAAAGTTCTTTTTGCTGTCATCGTCTCTCTCTTCATTGCTCCCTACTCACAACTTCACTCTCCACCTGATGTTCAAGATTACAGCTTCAGCACCAAATCCAGAATAATGTAAGCATCCCTTGAAATCGCCAGATTTCCTTCTGTCTTCCAGGCTCCCAGCTTCACTCCTGATCCTACTTGTGCCCCATTACAGTTTCTTCCTGTCTTCCTAGTCTGCCTCCTCCTAGCTTCCTAGTGTATTGGTACCCCAAATATTAATTCAAGGAAATAGTTAAGATCACTGTATCTACCCCTGTTACAGAATCAAAATCAATGAGGTTCAAAGTCCCTCCCAAAAATATAATTAAAACAAGATAACTGGTCACTCCATACCAGTCTTCTCCCCAAATACATAGACCAAGACCGAATGTTCTTGGACTCTGAGAGAGAAGGCAGTCATCTCAGCTCTGTCTCCTCAGATGACCTCACACTGGAGGGCTCTGCCTGTACCAGCACTGTATCAGTTAACCACTTCCTTAAGCCTTCCTTTCTGCCTCTGCCTCTGCCTCTGCTCTCCCTACAACACTCACAGATTACTAGGAGCAAAGGATTCTCCCACCCTAGCTAGTATCATGACCATAATTATCCATACAACCCATGCCAAGGAAAGATTTTGTTCCTGTAATATTTCAGCCCTTTGCCAGTCCATGGATGGGTTTGTGTCACTGTGACATCTCTAGAATGTCTCCTCCTGCCTCCCCTATCAGGAATAATACCCATGAGACCCAAACTTTATCCTTGCAGGATGACACACAGTCGAACTTCACAGTCCAACTCCACCTTCCAATGCCCAGTTTTCTTCATACTGACTGGCATCCCAGGGTTGGGAGACAGACAGACCTGGCTGACGCTGGTGTTTGGGCCCATGTATCTGCTGGCCCTGCTGGGCAATGCAACACTTCTGACAGTGATCCAGATAGACTCTACACTGCACCAGCCCATGTTTCTACTCCTGGCTACATTGGCAGCTACCGACTTGGGCTTAGCCACATCTATAGCCCCAGGGTTGTTGGCTGTCCTGTGGTTTGGGCCCCGATCTGTGCAATACACTGTCTGCCTCATCCAGATGTTCTTTGTACATGCACTGACTGCTGTGGAATCTGGTGTGCTTTTGGCCATGGCCTGTGATCGTGCTGTGGCAGTGGGGCGTCCACTACACTACCCTGTCTTGGTTACTAAAGCCCGGGTGGGCTATGCAGTCTCGGCGCTGACACTGAAAGCTGTGGCTATTGTGGTGCCTTTCCCCCTACTGGTAGCACGGTTTGAGCATTTCCGTGCCAGGATCATACACCATGCCTATTGCGCACACATGGCAGTGGTGGAGCTAGTGGTGGGAAACACACGGGTCAACAACTTGTATGGGCTAGCACTTTCATTGGCTGTGTCTGGTGTAGATATTCTGGGCATTGCTGGATCATATGGGCTCATTGCCCATGCTGTGCTTCGGCTGCCTACCTGGGAGGCCCGGGCAAAGGCCTTTGGTACATGTAGTTCTCACATCTGTGTCATCCTGGCCTTCTATGTGCCTGGTCTCTTCTCCTACCTCACACACCGCTTTGGTCGTCACACTGTCCCAAAGTCAGTGCATATCCTTTTGTCCAACATCTATTTGCTGCTGCCACCTGCCCTCAATCCCCTCATCTATGGGGTCCGCACCAAGCAGATCAGGGACCGATTCTTAGAAATGTTTAAATTCAGAAAAAAGCAGTTTTAATGGACAGTGGGTCATTGTCCTATATATGCATAGAACTGTGATGACCCAAAAGGTATTTGCTGTGAAGCCCTTGGAGTGTACACCACTGGTACCTGAAGACTTTGGCCTAGTCAGTCATGTCTTGCTTGAACGGAGGCAAAGGCAGGTGCTGCACATTACCGTGCAGGGAAAATAAGATGAAGTTGAGATCCAAAGATCTAGCTTGAGAATTTCCTTTCCTGTCCCCACCCCCATCATTTCAACCCAAGTCTCACTATGCTTCTTAAATGTGTTGGCATTTGTCTGGACTTACAACCCTCTCTGTACCTTGTGTCTGAGTCTACTTTCAGACTGTTCTCAAGGAATTATACAAACTTATACTCCACATTTTAAGAATCTGGAAAATGTACCCTATAGTGTCAGTTTAGCCAGGATATGAGACTTAAAACACTCCCAATCAAATAATTGTCTTGTTTGATCACAAGGGCTGACTGAGAAGCCAAGGACAATGGCACTGGGTTTTGATCCTACTGCATGCACTGGTTGTGTGGAAACCTAGTCTGTTTGGATGCTCACCTTCCTAGACCTGGATGGAGGGGAAAGGACCTTGGACTTCCCACAGGGCAGGGAACCCTGACTGTTCTTCGGACTGGAGAGAAAGGGGAAGGGGAAATGTGGAGAGGGGGAAAAATGGGAGGAGGTGAAAATTTGTAATAATAAAAAAAAAAAAAAGAAAAAAAGATTCTCTTGGTCTTGTGTATAATTACAACTTCCTCTTCCTTCAGTTCCAACAAAGAACCCCAAAGTAATACCTACAACTTCTTTCTCTGGTGTTGGGACTTTGAGAGTCAAAAATCCAACTAAAAAATAAAGTTTGTATTTAAACGATCAAATCATTATAATCACCTGTCACCTTTTGTGTACCCTCAGCCAAGAATGTAAAATTCCCACCAGAACCCCTATATGTCCTGGTGTCACAACAGCATGCAATACTGTATCACATGGTGCAACATCATCATGGGATATTTCATGCTGCTGCCACTTCCCAAACAGAGATACTAAACAGGAAGTGGCATGGTGTTGCCCAATGGGGGAATTCATTTTCAGTTAAGGATGGATAATAGAAGGAATAAAATATAATAGGCAGGGAGCCACAGCTGTAAGGACAGAGAAAACTAAAGCCATCAAGTCATGGTGTTAGTCACAGAGACCTGAAACAACAAAACCCAGCACAGCAGCTCAGAGAGCTGGACCAAGCACCACGGGACAAGACACAGACGAGGTAGCTCCTGTGTGGGACATTTGTCATTTCTAAGACTAAATGGGTCTCATTAGACTCCAATAAACAAGGAAGAGGTACCTCAAAATGTCTGCACACTGAATCTGCATGGTTGAAGGGAGCATCTAGTCCAGTGTCTCTCAACCTCCTAACACTGCAACCCTTTAAGACAATTCTTCATGCTGTGGTGACTATCAACCATAAAATTATTTTTGTTGCTACTTCATAACTTTAATTTTGCTGTTATGAATCATAATGTAAATATCTTTGGAGATAGTGGCTTGTCAAGGGGGCCACAACCCATAGGTTGAGAACCACTGGTCAGTCAATCATGTGTAAGTTTAGTTATTCCCAAAACTTATCTTTTCATGAACTTAAAAAACCTCCAAGAAATGATCTTGTAGAAAACTAATGAAATACTAGTCCTAGAGGAGAATGGCTCAGTGGGAAAACTCCTTGTCTGAAAAAGCAACAACCTCCATTCAGATTCCCAGCACCCACATAAAGGCCAGCTGCAAGTCTGTAACCCCAGTACTGAGGAGAAGGACAGAGAAGAGACAGGTAGATCTCTGAAACACCCTGGGCATTCAGTAAACTCTGGGTTCAGAGACTGTCCCAAAAGACAAGGTGAAAAATGACAGAGGAATACTCCCAACTTCAACTCTGGTTCCGCTATACACATGTGTGCATACAAAGGCATACTGAACCTGATGGATCACAAGCTAAGATATCCATCTTTCTCTTAAGAAATTTCCCTTTGATAAATCTATTCTGAGAAAATAACTGAGATGTGAACAAACATATGGTAGTAGGATATTTATTACATTATAAAGAAATATAAAGGAATTCTGTGTGATAATCCCATGTCACACATACATACACACACATCATTTTCCCTCTGACACATGGGAAGGGATATCATGTGCAAATAATGTTCATGAGGAATGAGTCCATCACCATTCCACCGTGAGAGACTGTTCTAAGGCACCTTCAGCTCCTAGCTGTGCACAGTTCTTGCAAGGTCGCTTGTTCCACGGCTGTGTGCTGAGAATGTTTTTCCTTCGAGCCAAAAATCTAACACATTTGTGTTTTGTTGACACTGCATACACATACCTACCATGTGATATGTTCAGAAAGCTTTACCAGCACATTCTCATTCTTCATAATAACCTGAGAATTAACTGTATGCCACAGTCCATCACCTATACTTTCAAAATAAATAATCTCTGTAAAAACATTTTTTCTATAGCTTTGGCCCAAACCCTAGCCCCAACCATTGTGATCTTATTGATAGCCTTTATTTCACTTACTGTAAATATTAACATATTTAACTGGAAAGAATGTTGATATGCCTGACTACAGGGCTTAAAACTGAAAAATTCTCAGCTTTAGTATATATTTATCCCAAAAAGTTTAAAATAAAGCAACAAGGGTTTATTTAATTATTCCTGCAGCCTGAAACAAGAGATTATTAAAGGTTTTTATCACCTTAAAGTCTTTACGGTCAATGCTAAGATTCTATGCTGCCATGAGATTCATATAGATTATCTCATGTTCTCTGCATAAATCATCCTATTTATTTACTCCTAGTCTCCATCCAGATCACTCTCTGATATCCTCAAGGTGATCAGTGCCTCTTTCCAAAGACACCACAGACTGATACCACACGGGAGGCAAATCCCAGCAAGACAAGGCCCAACAGCCTAACCCTTGGGCTCACCAACTCATGCAGGACTCAACTACCATCTGGTTTCCTTCAGTATCTTTCAGTCTTAGACACTGAACAAAAAGGAAAGACAGACTTACTCAATGTTAAGGTAGATCATCATAGAATTTGAGATTCACAGGAATCAGAAAGTGAGAAAAAGGCAGATGGTGTGGGCTTCCAGCTAAGCAGTTGAACAGAATCCAATCTGCCCTCTGAACCCTTGTCCATGAAAAACATTCTAAAGTCTTCTGCTTCCTATCTGACCAACAAGCCACCACCCCTGCACTGATCTCATCCCTCTCTTCTCATTCTGGACTCCCCTTGTCATCTACACGTGCACCATTCTTTGCCTCTCCGTCAGCTTGTCTCCCATACTGCACAGGTGCAGAGGTCCACGGTTCTGTTCCTTCTACTGGACTCTGCCTTTTATTCTACTTCAATGTTAACAAAATTTCTTTCACAAGGGAACAGAGTTGCCAACTACACTACACTATATATCCTTTCCTTGTCAACCAAAATGAAAGGATGTGCTAAACCAGGTGCGATGGTATATACCTGCAATAGTAGCACTGAACACAGAAGACAAAAGTACAAGTAGGAGGCCAGCTTCAGTGACACAGTGACATGCTGGTTCAGGGGATGGAGAGAACGGCTCAGAGAGGACAAGGATTCAATTCCCAGCACCCTATACAGTGACTCACAACTGTCTCTAATTCCAGTCCAAGGAATCCGATGTCCTCCTCTGGACCCCACTGGCACCAGACATACACATGATGCACAGATACACATGTAGACAAAACATTAAAAATTAGAGTCCTAATGTTAAAGATGGGGTGTTAAATAGGCACAAACAAGAACTTGGTTTTAGTACTCTTAAGAAACCCAAGGTTTCTCACTCGAACTGTTGTGGCTTCTCTTGCATCCTGCCCACTTCCTTCTCACTAAACCACATGTATTTCTCTCATCACACACTGAAGTGAGCCTTGCAACAGCACCAGAAGGAGCTACTGTTCAATAGTAAGAGCTGGAACCCTAGATCTGTTATTAACTATTTACTGTATTGTTGGCTAATTATTTTTTTCTGAACCTTTGCTTCACTATAAAAAGAAACAGTAATATCTACTCCAGAAAAGAAGGTGGGCACAGTGGTACACATCTGTAACCCCAGCATTCAAGAATCTGAGGGAGAAGGACGGCTCTGAGTTCTGGCCAGCTTGCAGCTACATAATGAGCTCAGAGCTATTCTGGATTACAGAGCGAGGCCTTCTCAAAAAAAAAAAAAAAAAAAAAAAAAAAAAAAAAAAAAAAAAAAAAAAAAAAAAAAAAAAAAAAAAAAAAACAAGCAAAACACCAAGAGATTCCTAAAAGAATCCTCTAAGATAACACATTCCGTACCTGATACAGGCCCTAGCACAGAAGGGTTCAAAAAAATACTTGACATTAATTTCTTTCCTGAAAACAGGACTCAGCCTACTGTCACTCTTTTGCTAAAAGACCTGGCACCTATACATTTGGTTTTTTTCTGAGGAGACATGCTTGCCTACCCTGGAGTCAACTGTGCTCCTTTTGGAAAGTTTTCTAGATAATCCTCTCCCATCACTGCAGTAACCTTCTGTGGAGTATGTATGACACCTCTCACTTTGGCTGGCCCAGATGATAGCCAGCTTTGCAAGACAGCAATTTCCTCTAGGTCTGGTTGCAACAGGACACCCCTAGACAGAAGACCTCCAGGGGGCCTCAGAAAGGGGACTATGAGACAGACAAGGGGTGGAGTGGGAAGATGAATACTAGAAAGTTCTAACATGATTTCTTTCAAAGACTTACTCTTCTCCAGCAAAATACTAGGTGAGATCTCTAGAACAAAGACAGAAAACAGAAGAGTAATAACGAGAGTGTGAGAGGAAACGACTACACATACTACATACAAATCGGCCTAGGACAGGAAAGGAGCATGAAGAAAATCTTCATGTTTACCCGGGTAATTCTGGCTTCCTGAAAATTCTTGCCAGTTACTAAGGGAACAAAATCTCATTTGGATCTTACTCTCCCCGTCGCTACTGCTCAGCCTCACACCCTCCTACACACACCTGCTTTCTGCTGCTTTTATAACCCACTCATTAATAGCTGGTTTCAACCTAGGAGCTTTTAGAAGTCAGGATTCCCAGGCATACCCCTGATAAGTTAAATCAGAATCTCTGAGAATAGGAGAAAGAATTCGGTAATTTATAGGTTAAGAATCACTAGAGTCTTTACTGTTGTTATTGTTGTTTATGTTTGTTTTCAGTGTAAGTCTTGATCTATACTTCCATATCTTTCAGGACTCCAGTGCAACTTAAAGAAATCTACAACTAACTAGATGACAATTATTCTAGTAAAGCAGTAAAAGAGAAGTGGTCCTACCCTGTTTCCTTAAAGAACTACAGATCAGGAGCCTGAGACAGAAAGAGTGTACTGCACTTTACTTCCCCAAAGCAAGAGAATGACTCTGGGCTGAGACGGAAGACCATGAGACCATGAAACAAGACTGGAAGATTAAAAAAAAAAAAAAAAAAAAGGAGTGAAAAGAGGAGAGAAGAAAGAAGAGAGCATCTTCGTATTATTCAAAGAGCAGGGCAGGCACACAGGGAGAAAAATGAAATGGCAAAGGGTAATAAAGAGGAAGAAAAGGAAGAAGAAAATAAATTGTAAATATTATGACCTGCAGGCTGCAAGGAAGCAGTAGAGTTACTGTCCTCTGTATCCAAGGCTCCATTGCCTAGCAGAACCTCTATGACCTCATGCTGAAGTAGATCACAGCCCAAGGTGGGGGGTGGGGGGCTTACCTCCCTGGGCAGCTTAGGGGTTCCTGCAGCAGCCACTACCTTGCCCAACCCCTCCTACTCTCTACCATGTTGGTCAGTAACCCCCACCTGCTAACACTGGATGAAGCAGATGCCACTTGGACCCTCATCAAGGATAAGGTAGGTAAAACAAGGAGGAAGTGGCTAAGTGTGACCAGGCTGATTCTTAGGTAGTCTCTGTGTAGAAAGAGGTGGGACATCTCAGACAATAGTAGCAGCAGTAACTGACATATAAAAGCACAAAATAAACACCTGAGTGAATGAATGAACTGAGGATGAACAACTAATTTAAGACAAACATCAAAATTCTTCAGAGGAAAAAGGAAAAAAATGAGTATTTCCAAGTTTAAACCACCATCTTAGATAAGCGACCATCAGACTTGAGGCAGCCTTAATGGCCCTTAACAACCATTGCTTGGAAATATGCTCACCACAGAGGCAAGGGAAGCAGAAATAAGAGAGCAAAGGATTTTCCCAAGATTAAGAGTTAATTAGTTTCAACAGTGCTAATCTGTATCTACCCTAGACCTGCTGAAATTACAGTGAACATAAATGAGGCCTTCCTCCATAGGAAAGAAAAAAGAAAACCCTTCTTATCTCAGTGAATAACTCAGGGCAGAGATACACAGAGTAAGTAGGACGACTTCAAACAGAACAGGGCACCTCTGAGTGCCCTTATTTCCTTCTTTCAATGTACAGGCCAGCACTTCAAAAACAGCTTTATGGTACAAAGTAAGAGCAGGGCAGCTTCAGGGGCATTGGATGAACTCAATGTAGGAGCACAGATATGTGGGATCTGGTGGATAAAAAGTAGATCACTTGAAACTTTTATGTGCCCTTGCTCTCTAGCATAACTGAGAGCCAGAAGGTGCAGTCAATGAAACTTTGAATGGATGGCTATCTTAATAGCTAAGTAACTACTAAAGAGGATCTTACAATGTTCCCAGGTACTCTCAATAACTGCTCACCAGTTACACATACTCCAAACAAAAACAAGAAATAAAGAAGGATAAACCTAAGGAACTAAAAACCCTAAATGGTTTACTGAAGAGGTAACTAACCCCCACAAACAACAGGCATTGTAAGCCTACGTCTGTGTGTCCTTTCTCACTAATATTATCCCATCTCCTAAGCAAGATCTTTGAAGATTCCTTTTTTCCACATTCATGATGAGACTAAGTTCTACCAATTCTGTGGCTTCGATTTCCCATTACTTTAGCTCAGGAAATAAAATCATGTTTTGCTTGCATTATTTCAACAGTCTTGTTATTTCCCTTTCCCGCTTTATAACTATGAAAAATCAGTTCTCTTCTTTCTGATCCCATCTTCCATCCAGAGCCTACAAAAGGCTTTCCATTGGCCTCAGGATAAAACAATCACTTATAAAAGGCTTACACACACAGCTTTCCATAAACTAACTCCTGTGTGCCTTCCCTCTTCCTACCTTAAATGCAAGCAGTATGAAATTATGTGTTCCTAAATGTACATGATTTGATGGTTCAGGGATGTTCCCTGGCTGTCTTTTCTGCTAGGAATGACTACTGCCCAGCCTTCTAATCCCGCCAAAACTCAAGTACTGCCACTACCAAACGTCTCTGACCATCTTTCTATCACAGACAAAGGCTGTTAAGTCACTTGTCTTTGTCTCAAACTGCTATCATTTTACTTAGCTAACTACTGTTCACATTTTTGTCTCCTCCATTAGCCCAAGCTACTTTAGGATAAGAACAAAGTCTCATTCTTTCATGTATCCAAGTATCTACATAATCTGGCACAAAATAAGACATTCAAGGTTTTACTATAGGAGGGAACTAGGTGATAAGTAGTGTGGGTCTATGTATACCATAGAAATGTACTTAAAGAGTGAACAGTGGTGGGAAGGTCAATTTAGACAACACAAGTTAACCTCTGACCTTAACTCAGACCCTGACTTATAAACTGGCCACCTGCAGGTCATCGAGGAACGTTTTGGGTCCAATGTAGTGGCAGTACCTTTCCTGTCGGATGCAGCCTGCTATGATCTACTGGGCGTTCTAGTGAAACAGTCCCGTCCAGCCCACACCCGCCTAATTTTGCCAGGCCGGCAGGGTCGAAGGGCACTGAAATCAGTAGGGCTGCTACCAAATCTTCTAGAACAGGTAGGGTCTGATGGTGTCTTTTCCCACTGCACTCGGGAATACTCACCAAATGGCCAAGCCGAGATAGCCTATGAAGAAATGAGAATGTTGGATGGGCAGCCCTGCCGGATCCGCCTACATATGGGAGGCCTGCGCAAGAAAGTTGCCTTCCTGCTGCTACCACCAGGGCAGGTGAGCCTACAGCAGAATCTTCCTTGGCTCCGAAGCACCCACAGCATCTACGTCATCTACCAGGTCTTCTCCTGCACCTGGCTGCAGCTAGGGCTGTTACCGACAGCCCGTGAGCCCCAGCTGCTCCGGTTACAGCGGTCATTACCTATTGCTTTCTCCTGCCTCAAGTTTTCACTGCAGCCCAAGGGTGTGCTGGGACCACAGAAGTCTCTGACCAAAGACCCATTGCCCCAAGGAGCCATCTGGGTTAGACCTAGCCTTAGCATCTTATCAACTCTGGCCCCCACATCAGTACCTGCTGATACCCTTGAAGTTGCTGATGTATCTCCACCTGTCCCAGCTCCACCTACACCACCTCCCCAAGAAGGGCCAGAAAGCAGACCCACCAGATTCTCCTATAAGGGTCGAAACCCCTTCTGGAGGGGCCCCTATATGCTTTCAGGTACTGCTAGAGGAAATGAAGATGAGGGATGGGAAAGACCATTGGAGGGAGAGGGTACAGGGAGTATAGCCCATGAATGGGTTCAGCAGCCGGGTGTGTACAGGACCCTTATGAAGGGACACACTTGAGGGAGCCCAGGGAGGGTGAGATGGAAGCATGACCCTGGTAAAAGTGTGTGGTGGGGGGGGGGGGTGTAACAGAATCAGAGGGAGGGACTAGGGCGGAAGATCAGGGCGGGCATGAGTCAAGCTGTGACTATCCCCAACCCTAGCAGAGAACTGGCTCTTCAGCCCCCGCAACCCCCCACCAGGAGCCCAGGGTGGGGGCCCCGGGGACCCCGACCGGCACTCCATGTCCCTGCCCCTGCTGCAGGGTCTGTCCTCGGAGTTCGACAGCGACGAATGAAGTTGAGGCAAGAGATGCAGGGGGCAAGGCCCCTAAGATCTGACATAGGGATATGGGTCCCCAATAAACATCAGCTGCTGCACCCCCAAACCACCCTGGGCCTGTGTGCTTCTTCCTTCTGGGATCCAGAAAATGAGTCTCCATTTTCCCCTAAGCATTAAGTCCTCTCACTTCTAAGAGTAAAGGGGCTATCTTGAAACCCAACCATCAGTGTTATCACCAGAAAGGCCCCTGATGATTCATGTCCCACCTGCATACAACTTTCACAGGGCCACAGCCCCAGAGATAAAGGGTGCCAAAGAAGAATGAGCACAAAATAGAGATTTCCCTTTTATACATATTGCAACAAGTTCTCATAAAACATTCATCTGAAATAAATTAAAAAGTCCATTTGTCACTGCCTCCAAACATAAAAAGGAGCCCGTGTCCTGGAATTCAGCCCAGGCCACAGAAGGCCCTGATTGTCCATGGAAGAAAATTAAGGATTGAGGGGCCCAAAGCCTGAGATGGGAGGAAAAGATACCTCCTCTGAAGTATCCAACAAGAAAGGCGAGGTGACGGCATGGGCCTGGGAGATGGCAGCCAACTCCTTGAGAAACTCAGGGAAAATGACTGCACAGTAGACAGCGTTCTTGACTCGCAGAGCCTCACCTTGTCGTTCAGAAGCCCCGCTCCGGGGGAGCAGAACTGGGGTTGAAGCGCCTGGAGAGCCCCCACCTAGTCCAAATCCTGTTCCTTCTCGCCCAGGTTGAAGAACCTGTGCTGCCTGCCGGGCTCTGGTGGGACTATGTGCGTGCCGCAGGAGTAACTCCCCTAAGGATGGCCTCCGGCTCCTCACTGAGAAGAAACAGGAGTATCAAGAAGGTGGTGGGATTAGGGAATCTGCCCTAGTCTGGGGAACAGATTCCCCAACCCCCTTAGGTTCTTGAACTTCTCCTCTGGGTTCTGGAAGAATGGAAGGACAAGATGGACAAAAACTGAATTGAAATTCCTTTTTTGTCTCATCTCTAAAAATGACTAAAGATTTGAGATAGGGGTTTTTCCTCATACCAAAATCCTACTTGCTCAGCTTTTCCCCTCTATCCAGTCTCCTCAGCGCCAGTATTTGAACTACTTTATTCCTTCCTTCCCTATGACCCCTCATCCTAAATTATTCTAACCACTGTTAGATGGCTCCCATACATACTATGCCCCAACTCTGTGTTTCCTATCACTCTCTAGAGCAGTGGTTCTAAACTTTCTTAATGCTGTGACCCTTTAATATAGATCCTCATGTTGTGCTGACCCTCAACCATAAAACTACTTTGTTACCATTTCATAACTGTAATTTTGCTACTGTTCTGAACTGTAATATACACACCTAATTGTAGGCTATCTGATATGCAATCCCCCAAGGGGTCACGACCCACAGGTTGAGAATCATTGCTCTAGCACCACATCCAACCAACTACTTCTACTTTGCTCTGACTACCTAAAGCTGACCTACATCATCTGCTCCTTCAATACCCACATGTACAACTGCAGTTCAGGGATAGTTTCATTTCTTAACACTCCACTGCCTGTCTAGGATCCGTGTCCTTATACTAACTACTACCTCATCACTCATCAGTCCCCGCCCTATACCACCAAGACCTCCCTCCCGCTGGGTATGCCCAGACAGCTTCACATTTATTTCTGTCTAACTTTCTGGATTCCATCACTTAAGCAGCCTAGACTCTAGCCCCTCGATTATGAGAAATGTCTCTAATGGCCACCTCTAACAGTGCTTACAGAAACACCATACAGACTTATTAATCTTGAATTCAGAGCCTTCACAACCAGGGTCTCACTCAGCAACCTACCTTCATTGGATCCAATAGGCATCTTATATCTATCTGCAGCTTCCTTCGGCTACAATTTGTCATTCCTACTTTTTTATCCTTTCTGCCTTAGTTATCTCCACCTGGGAAAACCCTGAAAATACTTCTGTGATCTTCCCTATGCTGACTTCATGTTCTTCTATCATTAACTCAACATCAATAATTTCTTCCCAAGGCTTCTCTCTCATGCACTAAACTATGAACTCAAGAACTTAAGAATGTCACATTTAATGCTTCCCTAGCTCCTCAACTACTACCAAATCCTGTCATATTTAATGCTTCCGTATCTCCTTAACCACTGATAATTCTGTAAAAACCTGCTTCCCAAGTAGTAAAAGACAAGATCTCCTGAGTATATTGGGAGCACGGGGACCACGGGAGAGGGTTGGAGGGGAGGGGAGCAGAGAAAAATGTAGAACTCAATAAAAATCAATAAAAATAAATAAATAAAAATTTAAAAATTAAAAAAAAAAAAAAACTTCCTTCCCATGTCTGCTCTACCAGATGCTTGCTGCTTTTCTTTCCCACTACTCAAATTCAAACCTCGCTGGTCCTGATTGTTCTTCCTGAATCCCTTCTCTTAACGCCAATTCATCTGCAATCAATCACTTCTAACAATAAGATTTTAAAAACCTCTCCTAGTTTCTTAGTGTCTGAAAGAAAAATCACTACTTCTACTCTAAAAGCTTCCACTCTAAAAGCCTCTTACTCTGGCCAAACCTTTCTAGCCATATCGCCAATTGCTCCACACCCTTGTAAAGCCCCCTACTCTCATTATTCGAAGGCAAATACCACATCAAGTTCTCATAATATCCAATACCCAAGAACTTCTTTCTCTTTCCTTGTTCTTCTACCATTACGTAGGTTTTTGTAGATACTGACAATTAGGGTCTTAATATAATGACTCTATCCTCTGACTCAAAACCTGGAAAAACAAAAAATGAAGACTCAAACTCTTCAGTTTCTGGATCTTAACTAACTTGGGCGAATGACGTGTCAGGGAGAATAAGGAAGGATTGTCAATTAGTCCTTACCTACAGACTCAGAGCGGCGGGGAGCAGGGCCTGCTACTGTAGGACCTTCAGCCCAGTCCAGCTTGCCACGAGCAATGAGGTACTTCTTGGCTTTGGATAGCAGAGCAGGGAAGTCCTCCTGAGAGGCTGCAAAGCTCTCAATCTTATTCTTCACAGATCCCAGCACCTATGAGACACAATTTTAGAATGTTTCCAGTGGTTTCACATTGACACAAGCCTTCCTAGCCCCACTGCACCTGTTCCCAGGCCACCCAAGGTCACTCTAGCTGTGGGCCTAGCCCACCACTGAGCCTGGACGCACCCATGCATGCATGCATCGCACACCTGCAGCAGGGACTTGACACTGGGCTGGAAGACCATGTTGGTGTTGAGCAGGAAAGAGCGGAGCAGGGGCTGGGGGTGACAGGCCAGCTGGGCCACCAGCCCCGTCAGCAGGAAGTTGACATAGACGGAGTTCTGCAGCATGTTCTCGAGTTTGGCAAAGAGCACAGCCATGAAGGGGCCTGGGAAGGGTGTGGGCACAAGGATACAAAGCCTGAACACAATGCACATTGCAAGCATTCCTCCCCTAACAAGACCCCCACTAGATGAAAATTATATGAGTGTGTTAAATGACCTGTGACCACTTTCTCTGGACAATTAAGGTATCCAGATGCCTAAGCTCTAGAGTGTAGACACATCTCATATTTCAGATGTGCTCTGTGACTTGATAAGTTGAAAGCTTGACAACATTTAGTTTCCTATTTATAGTAAAATAACTATACCTACCTCATAAGATAATTAAGAGGACCAATGAGATATCAATGTCAAATATCAAGTACAAGAGCTGGCAAGTTTTTTCATTTGATTATAACCATATCCTACAATGTATTTCTCAGTTTTTAAGAAGCTTCATTCAAGAACACAACAGAAGAATACACAGAGAACCAAGTCACAAAACTAGTTCCATGTTAGACAGAGTAACAAAATAGTGGGCAGAAAGAAAGCAAAAAAGATGAAACAACAACAAAGAAAGAGACTGTGAATTTCAAAGCAAGTAGAAGTCTTTAGAGGTACAGAGACAGTATCAGTTTTGTCTTCCAGGAGCAGGGAATCAAGGAGGTAGACTAGGCTCTACAGGAATAGAATAGCTTAGTTCAGAGGCACAGGAAACTGACTCAGGATGAGAAGAAGGGATTAGCATTCTATCCTAGGAGAAATGCCTAAAGACATGACATGACACTGGACCACTGAAGCCGTCACAGTATTTCCGATGAAAGATTTTTATAGAAAATAGAATATATTTAAACTATGATAGAAGAATGATGTACACGTGGTGAATTCTCAAACAGATTTTATACCACCATCTACTAGAGGTATCCATAGGACTAGGCTTAGCCCAGAAGTAATACTAGCTTAATGGTCCAAACAAAATCCCTAGCTTTATCCTTCTGTTCATTCCCTGGGAGTATCTTCTAAGGGTTAATGCAAAGAGTACAAATGACTTTACAAAGAAAAGGGAAAGAAGCATCAAAAGACTCTGCAAAAACCACACCACAACCTAGAGGTACTGAGCAGAAAAGGAGCGGAGCAGAAGCTAAACGAATAGGAAGATAGTTTTCTATAGTATGCTAAAGAAGGAATATGGCTCCAGACAGAAGCAATCCCAGGTTTATCAAGAAATGCAGCACACAGACTTGACTCTTGACAACTAGGATAGGTGGTGCCTTACTGAACTTCAATCTTCCATGACCCACTAATAAAAATCCCAGTGAAAAGCTACCATTTGTTATGTTTTTACAATGTGCCAATATTAAATTGAATGATTTTTCATGTACCAATGGTAGGCAGAATGCTAACTTAAAGAGTGCTTAATCTAAACTCTATAGTCTTAACCCTAGCCACTATACTGCTTCCCAGAGATTTTGTTTTGTTTTGTTTTCCCATGCTAAGATATAGATTACAGCTTGATAAAGACTTGTCTTGCTCACAAACAAAACAAAGAAGAACCAGTCCAAAATCTGAGGTTGAATCTAGCTCCAGAGGATCAACCCAAAAGGGCCTATCAGGTACACTTAGTACTATGCTTTGTCATTTGCCCTCAAAGAATATCACCCACATACCCCCAATCCTTACTAATCATATGTTCTTAAAATAACTGTATTGGACAGTCATGGCAACCAAAAAGGTACAAGACAATGGATAGGAAAATGAAATCAGGCCCTTCTTTGAAGAGACAGAGAGGAAGGTGCTAAACAGAAGGGAAAGCACCAAAAGAGCTGACTCCAGGGCCATTAAAGACCTA